CTACAATAAAGGTTTTTTTTTATAAATACAAATAGACTTTCAATATAACAACTAGAGAAATTTTAAAAAATGCCACTTTTCAAGTGCCACTTTACAAAAATGCCACACTTTTGAAATCTTTACAAAAATGCCATTTTTTCAAAATTATTTTTTCTTTATATTATTTATGTTTGGGTTAATTATGTTCTATTAGGGTTTAGTTTTGAGTGTTTAGAGGGTTTTAGGTGTCAAAACATTTTTTAAGGTTTAAAATTTTAAGAGCTTTATAAACCTATCATTAGTGGCATTGTTGTAAATGGACACCCCTAAGTGGCATTTTTGCAAATATGCACACAAAAAGTGGTATTTTTGTAATTGCAGGTTTTTTTATTAAAAAATGAGCTCTTTTTTTGTTATATTGAGTGTATTTGTATTTATATTTTTTTATTAAGGGTTTTTTTTAATAACTGTAATGAAATTTCACAAAAATAACTTTTTAATGAAACAACATAATATTTCTCAAAGAGTATCAAACTAGTTATTTATTTGCCAATTTCTATATTATACATTCATGTAATTTTGTCAAAATTATTTTATTTTTCAACTTAATAACGCTTCTTTTAAAAAACTACCAAAAAATTAGTCAATAAAAAAATTTATGGTAGATATTTAAATAATTACCTAACTAATATCAGTCAAAATTTCCGAAAATATATCACTAATATTTTATGGTAAAAAAATAAATAAAACATTTCATTACTATATTAGACAATTAAAAAATGTACTATATATATTAGTAATTTGTTGGCTGATAATTTGTATTGCATCTTTCTAATTAGTTCAATCATTTTAGCATAAAAAAAAAATAGTTCAATCAAATCGAGATTCAAGTGTGCGTCCAATGGAGTCTTCTCTATTAACTTTCAAGGTATGAACATAACATATGTTTCTAATTAATTAATTGATCATAACTATGTGTCTTCACTCTGGCTCTTCACTATTAATCATAACTACGTATCGTTAAATTTTTTTTTTTTATGTTAAATGCAATAATTTTAAAATTTTGTGTTTCCTATGAATCGTTAATAAAATTAAGAAAGGAACTAAAAAATCATAGTGGTAAATCGTATTTCCATTGAAATATATTTTTATGTGATAAATTGATTTTTTTTTTTATCATACTCGCTGTGGTTTACAGTAGTGCTTATTATTTTATTTATTTCTTTCAAATGATTCATCTTGTTTTCAATAGTGAGATACCTATTAATACTGATAAGTTTTTCAAATGCATTAATCAATCAGTTTCGCAAATAAATCAAGTGATGATTATTCATTTTTTTTTAATGTTTTTCATGGTTTGAAATCTACAGAAAAATATCTCAAAAGAATGTCAAGTTCCTAGAATTGGAACAAGCTTGAGCCCGTCTGAGCCAAAGAAGCATCTGATTGTTGGCACCAAACCCAAGATTCCTGATCTGAATTTAGAACCTCCTTCTGATTCCGAAGAAGAAGGAAAAGATGCAAGTGATGATGTTCCTAAACTTTTGTATGAGGTTGAAGTCGAGATCTTTGCTCGTGTTTCTTGCTTTGAATACTGGAAACTACACTTTCTCAACAAGCAGTTTTCGCAACTGTTAAAGAGCGGTGAGATTTTCAAGGTGAAACGAGAACGCGGGCTTGTGAAACCATACGTGTTAATGCTTACGAGCGGTGACCCTTGCTGGACAATGATTGATAAAAGTTTCGAAAACTTTCGGAAACTTCCAGAAATTCCTTCTGACTTTTGCTTCTTCTCCTGCGATAAAGAAACGATCAGTGCAGGAACACAACTACTCGTTGTTGGAAAGGAAGTAGAGAGCATTGTGGTGTGGAGATACGAGTTAGAGATGCATAAGTGGACCAAAGGACCTGCAATGATCACACCGCGGGTAATGTATGGTTCCGCGAGCCGTGGGACCGACGCTTTCTTTGCTGGAGGAATTAAATTTTGCGAAAAAGGGAATCCCGAGGTTTGTACCGAGGCGGAGAAGTACAATGCAGATACGAAAACATGGACAATGATACATGGAATGCACAAGCGAAGGAAATTCAGTTCGGGATGTTTCTTGCGAGGCAAGTTTTACGTTATTGGTGGTCGTGATGAAAATGGTAAAAACCTAACTTGCGGAGAAAGTTACGACGAGGTGAAAAATTCTTGGACGCTGATACCGGACATGCTTAAAGACATAACGTTCAAGTCTTCCCAATCGCCGCCTCTAATCGCTGTGGTCAATGATAACCTTTACTTATTGGAATCATCTTCGAACGAGCTACGAGTTTACGATGTAAACGAAAACGCTTGGAAGAAACTAGGCATTGTTCCTGTGAAAGCAAACGCTGCCAAAGGTTGGGGAGTTGCATTTAAATCGATTGGAGATAGGCTTTTGGTGATTGGAACTTCTCCATTACCTAGATCTTATATTAAGAGAATGGCGGTTTACACATGTCGTCCATCTCCAAATGTGGAAGAGCAGGTTTGGGAGGAGACTGAGAATTGCTGCGACGGTGTTCAACTCAGCAATTTTATTCATAATTGTTGTGTTATGTTTGCTTAAGGTTTCTTCTTGGGACGAAAACTTGGCAACATATATGGTTTGTGTTTTTGATGTTTCTGTTTGTAATAAGTTTTTGGTGATCTTGACGCCAAAACATATAACTGAAAAATTTTTCGCCACATTTTTATTTTATTTTTAGTTTTACCTTCAAATCAAAAAAAAAAAATGGTGAAAAAGGGATCATTGAGGTTGTTAGCGCGGCGGAGAAGTACAATGCTGATACCAACACATGAACAATGACATGTGATATGCATAAGCGAAGGAAATTCAGCTCGGAATATTTATTGTGAGGCAAGTTTTATGTCATTGGTGGTCGTGATGAGATTGATATATACCTAACTTGTGGAGAAACGATGAGGTAAAAAATTCTTGGAAACATGCTCAAAGATGAAATATATAACGTTCAGGTCTCCCCAATCACCGCCTCTCATTGCGGTGGTCAATGATAATCTTTACTCATTGGGAACATATTTGAACGAGCTACAAGTTTACGATGTAAACGCAAACGCTTGGAAGAAACTTGGTATTGTCCCTGTGAAAGCAAATGGGGCTTCGAAGTTGGGGAGTTGCGTTTAAATTGATTGGAGATAAGCTTTTGGTGATTAGAGCTTCATCTGCTAGATCTTATTATAAGAACATGGCGGTTTATATATGTCGTCCTTCTCTAGATGTGGAAGAGCAGTTTTGGGAGGAGACGAAGAATTTTGCTGCGATGGTGTTGAGCTCACCAATTTTAGTCATAATTGTTGTGTGATGTTTGATTAAGGTTTCTTCATGGGACGAAACTTAACAACATA